ACACTGCTGAGCGCCGCCTACAAGGTACTCTCCCAAATTCTATGCCGCCGTCTGTCACCATATGCAAGAGAGTTCGTGGGGCAATACCAGGCGGGATTCATGGGTGCCCGCGCTACCACGGACCAAATTTTCGCGATTCGGCAGGTTCTGCAGAAATGCCGCGAATACAACGTGCCCACACATCATTTGTTCATCGATTTCAAATCCGCATACGACACAATCGATCGAGATCAGCTATGGCAGATTATGCACGAGTACGGATTTCCGGATAAACTGACGCGATTGGTCAAGGCGACGATGGATCGAGTGACGTGCGTTGTTCGAGTATCGGGGACACTCTCGAGTCCCTTTGAATCTCGAAGGGGGTTACGGCAGGGTGATGGACTTTCGTGTCTGCTGTTCAACATCGCGTTAGAAGGTGTGATCAGAAGAGCTGGGATAGACACGAGTGGCACGATATTCAGGAAGTCCATCCAGCTCCTTGGTTTCGCCGATGACATTGACATTATGGCACGGAACTTTGAGATGATGGCGGAAACGTACATCAGACTGAAGGCTGAAGCTAGACGGATTGGACTTGCCATCAACGCATCAAAGACAAAATATATGAAAGCAAGAGGTTCTAGGGAAGACAATGTTAGCCTCCCACCCCGAGTTCAGATTGACGGTGACGAAATCGAGGTGGTCGATGAGTTCGTGTATTTGGGCTCACTGGTGACCGCCGAAAATGATACCAGCAGAGAAATTCAAAGACGCATTATGGCAGGGAATCGTGCCTACTTTGGACTCCGGAGGACGCTCCGGTCGAATAAAATTCACCGCCGCACGAAGTTGACTGTCTACAAGACGCTGATTAGACCGGTGGTCCTTTACGGCCACGAGACCTGGACTATGCTCGTGGAGGACCAACGCGCCCTTGGTGTTTTCGAACGGAAGGTGTTGCGTACCATCTACGGTGGAGTGCAGATGGATGACGGAACGTGGAGGAGGCGAATGAACCACGAATTGCACCAGCTGCTGGGAGAACCATCCATCGTCCACATTGCAAAAATTGGGCGACTACGGTGGGCTGGGCACGTCGTAAGAATGCCGCACGACGACCCAGTGAAAATGGTTCTAGAAAGCGACCCAACAGGAACAAGAAGAAGAGGCGCGCAGCGGGCAAGGTGGATCGACCAAGTAGAAGGTGACCTGCGGACCCTTCGCAGACTACGAGGCTGGCGAACTGTGGCCATGGATCGAGTAGAGTGGAGACGACTTCTTCGGACAGCAGAGGACAACAAGGCCTTAGCCTGATTGATACTGATATATCTAATTATTTCATAGTTTAGAAAAACATTGTTTTAGCTGAAATGAGTCTTTGCAACCTTGTTGGCAATGGGTTTCGATGAGGTCACGCTCCCGTATACGGTCGGGAGGAAAGTAAACCGCACAGAAAAACAAGGTACGATCGCCCAGTTTAATCGACGTCCACACCTGCTCTAAGCATGTCCAAGCATTGTTTTCTAGTAACCTCGCTCTAAACCACTACATCACCGGTGCCGGCCAAGGAGCAATTGACTTCAGTCGTTTTGGATATTAACGGCGCATTTGATTCTGTTTCCATAGACATCCCGAGCAGGAGAAAATAACTAATGAATACCTAATTCTGATCTGATACCAAAATTTGGTATTGACCAGCATGACATAAGAGGTAAAATACCAAAGAATAATATGAATTACATGCAAAATACTTTGTAAATACCAAAACTTGATATTTGGATACCAAAACAATACCTGGGTGGTATTGTTTCGGTATTGCATTATCATAATTTGGTATTGGAATGGTATTGTGGGAACATTTATTTAGTATTATTTTTTGGTATTTTACCTCTTATGTCAGGCTCATCCATACCAATTTAAGGTATCGAGATATTCGTTCCTGCTCGGGATACTGTCAGAAAATTTGCACAGTAGTGGATTATCCGGTTTTTTAAATAATTTCTTCATTCCACATCGAACATTCGACTTTTCGGTCTAGTATTGCTTGCCCACCGTTATCGGTACTAGTTGTTTTCCCCTATTGAGTTTTTTTTCAATCCGCTTTCATACTGAGTGGTGTTGTAGTATACAACAGTGTAGTTAGCATCGCGGAATTTTAATTACCGCTTAATCGTTCGAGAAAGGAAGCAGTCATTTCCGGCCGAGTCCGGCAGATGAACTGTTCACCTGTAACCAACAAATTTCATCGCATCACGCCACTGAAAAATCAAGATCATCGAGTTCACCAGGCGGCGAGCCAGCCGGTACTTTGTTGCAAACACTCGAAGGCAACAATAGAACGATCATCACCATCATCCTCACATCAGGATAGATCATCGTCATCAGCCACACTCCGAGCGCTTGTGTGGAGAGTTAAGTAACAAACTGTTATTTTCCGTTCTTCGCAACCTGATTAATCTCCATACAGTGTTGATTGTCTTTTCTGACACCTTATTGTTTTTTGCTGAAATTGTTTTCACTTTTTTCCCCTTACTGATTTTTTTTGCAATCTTATTAATCCTTTATCTCCCTTTGGTGTTGATTAACTTTCCTGGCACTTTTTTTTCATTTAAAACTTTTGTTTTGCTTTGTTTGATCAAGTATTATTTTTACCGTTACCGTTTTACCGTTTTGATAAATTTTTAGTTATTATTATTTTTTTTTTTCTTTACGCCGAAATCTGTTGCGGAAGAACTTAAGACCCCGCAATGGATGAAATCAATGATGGAGGGGGTATTTCGCTAGCAGTTATCTCCGATGATGAGTATATTAAATCTCCATAATACGAAAATCTGCTTCTCACTGAAGAGAAAATGGATAGCTCAGGATACTACTTCGGTCCCCAAAACGAGCACTGGAGCTTATCCAAAGGTGATGTTTAAACAACAGCCTCCTTCACCCCCTTCCTTCTCCACCATCGCCACCTCGTCCACCTGATCCCCCTACTCCAACCATTCCCTTAAAAATTTCTGCGACCCCCCGCCATAAAGCTTACCCAGACAACTCAAAAGGTCCGTGGGTTGTTTTTTCCGGCCCAAACACCTTTGAATATTTCTCAGATTTCGAAGGATCTAACAAAACATTTTTCGGCCGTAATCGATATCTTAAGGGTGCCACCAAACAAACTGCGCGTTACCGTTGATGCCCCGAAGCAGGCAAACCGGATTGTTGCCTATGAGCTTTTTACGATGGAATATCGAGGTCAGTGATGATGATGATGATGATGATGATGATGATGATGATGATGATGATGATGATGATGATGATGATGATGATGATGATGATGATGATGATGATGATGATGATGATGATGATGATGATGATGATGATGATGATGATGATGATGATGATGATGATGATGATGATGATGATGATGATGATGATGATGATGATGATGATGATGATGATGATGATGATGATGATGATGATGATGATGATGATGATGATGATGATGATGATGATGATGATGATGATGATGATGATGATGATGATGATGATGATGATGATGATGATGATGATGATGATGATGATGATGATGATGATGATGATGATGATGATGATGATGATGATGATGATGATGATGATGATGATGATGATGATGATGATGATGATGATGATGATGATGATGATGATGATGATGATGATGATGATGATGATGATGATGATGATGATGATGATGATGATGATGATGATGATGATGATGATGATGATGATGATGATGATGATGATGATGATGATGATGATGATGATGATGATGATGATGATGATGATGATGATGATGATGATGATGATGATGATGATGATGATGATGGTCCCACCTCTTACCCCTACAAAGGTTTGAGCTGGACGATTTATCTTTATGATAATTAAATGTAAACATTTTAACCAGGTTAGCAAACAAAAACATCTGGTTACATTTACAGATATAAATTCGCTCTAGTTGTTGCTTTACAGCGATATAAATGTGAAAAAGCTTAGGCGTCCACGTCTTACACGGACAGAAAATTGTTTGCATTGAACCAAACAAAACTTTAGTTGTATTTAAACAAACAATTCCGGTTGAAATTATATTGCATTTTATTGTTTCTATAAAACTTATTCAAATAAATTCAACATAAGATTCTTTTTGTTTTAATAAGCCACTTTTCAATTGCAACTATTGTAAAAATAACAATATTCTATTATTAAGCCAACAATAGTTAATTTTAATTTAGCATTTATTTGCTGTGTCTATTCCCCGGGCCATGAATACAAAAATAACTACCAACTATTCCCTCGTTTTCACCCGGACAAAAATGTAAATAATAACAACAAATTTCTCATTTGATTAAGTATTGTTTTTAATTGTGAATTTCGGGAAATAAGTACGAGATTTCCGAAAATCTTGAGACTTGAGGTAAGCAAGTAAGCTGCACTTGAAGCTGCAGTTGTTAAATATAATCAATTTTTAAGTTTTTTTTCCTTGATTTTTTTCCGTCGATCTTGTTTTCCGTACTGAGTACCAATGCTCCCGACGCCAGGAATGCACCTCCCACACCTGGACCCTACATATCGACCCATCAACTCATGAACCGGTGACCAACGGCTTTACTTCCCTTCCCGAAGGAAGGCGTGATCAGTGATTTTATGCCTCAAAAATTCAATTGCAATTCTGTTTGTTGCAAAAAGAAAACAAAACACAAAAAAAAATCGACATTATTTTTGAATCAATACACATATTGTTATTTCTACTGCGTGAATTGTCAGCCTTCATAAAATAAATTTGATTGAATCAACAAGAAATCTCTTTTAAAACCAAACATATTTTCTTGTTGACCCAGCTGCCAAATTTGACAACTTACGTCAAAACCATGAAAGCTCTTGTAAATTCGAAAAGATTTTCTTTTTGATTTAACAATCCATGGGTTTTAAGGGACAACAATACTGGATTGTTGAAACAATAATTATTTCTTTTTGCAGCCAAAACAACATGAAATTCTTATTGCATTTACGTCAAATATTATTACGCTTAAAATATTTTTTTCTGCGTGTAGTTCGCCTTTTTGTACACCTTAAATATTCATAAGTACTACAAGCGATCAAGAGTTACGTTATGTCCACCATAGAGCAACAAACAACTATACAAAACAAGGATGACGGGATGAAGGAAAATTGGGAGAAAAGAACAGACATTGCCCAAAATCGGCCTCTTTTAATATCAGGCGTCCGTGTGCTAAGACGCATTTTAATTAGCTAAGTGCAGTGGTTGCTGTTTTTGAACGTGAACCAGGACTCGCCCCCCCCCTAGCAGCAGTTAGTATGCGCTAGGGAAATTTAACGTTCAGGTAACTAAATACCCTGCACCAAAAACCGTAAATTAATTACGTATTCGTCCGATAGGACTTCTTTTATGTTGGACCTTAAAAAGGTCATCCGTCAACACACGGCCGGCTCGTGAAATTGGAAACAGTTTCCGAGCCCAATTATCAAGGCCCAAATACTATTATCTGGCCAAATGTAGGCCATAATCGCAATGGAGTTTTCCCTTATCGGCTTGACCAAGGTGGCCTTGCCACGGTCGACCGATCGTGCCAACGAAGGACGACGCCTGCCATCCCACCGTCCAGCAACGCCCGCTGGCCCGTCATCCGCTCGCTTCGCCAATCTGGCGAGAGATCCGGCCGCACAGTAGGACAGGAGTCACTGTGTCGGCCATTCCGATTTACCATCAATGGCAGCAGCGGTATGTACCGGTACCAGAGTTGGTAACGGTCAGTTTGGTCAGTGACGTTTGACGAAAACCAAAAGTAAATTGTCGCTGTACAAAAACCATCATTTCCATACATTCTTCGTCATTGACGAAGAGAAGCCGACAGTAATCCCTTTGAACAAATCCTATCGCATCTTTTACCTTCACTTCTCTTTTCTGTATCATGCATGGACAAAAAAAAGCAAATATCGTCGAACGTGCATGTGAGCAGACTAGTAACCACACTATGAGCGCTTCTTGTTTTCCTTTAGCCTATCCATTCTCCTAAGCGTTGATAGACCAGTGGTAAAGACACAAGCCTGTTAATCTCAACGTTGGTGGTTCGAATCCGTTTTGCACCCATTTTAAGTTTTTTGTGTTGCTTCCAACGATCATCATTTTTTGTCAAACAATACGGAACGGCTGACTAAAACGAGCAGCTTTTAATCCTCTCCGAGTAACCGACCGATCTAAGAGAGAGAGAACGTACTGAGCTAGTTTTTTTTTCACGACGTAAATGAAAGAGGACTGCCTTCATACGGAATTTGTCATGCGCTGCTTGGAGTGCGACGAAGATAGTTGTCCACGCACTGGGATCCTCTTCGATGAGCTCCAACGCCTGGCAACGGCTGAGCGAACTATCCGGAAATGGTCACTGGTTCAGGGGATTTTAGCCACAGAAAGTTAAACTCTTGTAGTCTTGAAAAAGACTGATTGATTGGCTTGTGGTTGGCTTCGGTCAGGAGAAAAAGAGATGAACTCGCGGCGTTAGAAATTAATTGTATATTGAACGGGTGTTATTCGTATAATGGTTCGATTTGTACTGATTATAGGTAAAGTTTGGTGCCGGTACTTTTATACCTACCGACTCGATCGAGAGTGATCGAGTCATGAGGATATTCCTACGTGATGTAGCTGTTTGTTTTTTCCTGCTGTGTGGAGTGTAGAGCGAAGTACAATTATGTGCGGCGTGTGGGTACAATAGGTTTAGGTTTCTGCTTGTTCTTGCAGTGGTCTCGTAGTTCCCTGTCTGCGCCCTTGAAGTTGGTGGCATTGTCACAGAACAGGGCGATTGGCTTGCCTCGCCGTGCAACGAACCGTTTCAACGTTGCGATGAAGGCTTCGGAGCTGAGATCGCCAACCAATTCGAGGTGTACGGCCTTCGTAGCCATACATACGAATACAGCGACGTATGCTCGGATCGGTGGAGCTGGTTTCGTTCGACGTACTGGTACCTTCAGCCAAACGGGACCACAGAAGTCAACGCCCGTGTTGAGGAACGCACGGGTCGGAGTGATGCGAACTTTCGGAAGTTGGCCCATCAGCTGGTGTTCTGCTTGTGGTCGTGTGCGGTAACAACGCAAGCAGGATTTGACGTGTCTCCGTGCCAGGTTACGGAGGTTTAATGGCCAATATTGTTCACGGATGTGTGCGATCATCGCACGCGGTCCAGCGTGGAGAAGCTGCTTGTGCACCGAATCAACGAGCAGTGAAGTGAACGGATGCGCTGCAGGCAAAAGCATTGGATGCTTGCGCGTGAACGAGTATGAAGAGTGGTTCAGCCGGCCACCGACCAGAAGTACATCATCGTGGATGAAGGGATTCAAGGTACGTAATGGGGATTTCTTGAGATCCGCTTCGCATCTGGCCTGAAGCATAGCGATTTCTTGGCTGAAGCACTCATTTTGCACAACTTTTACAAGGCCTTCTTGTGCTTGAAGGAGTTCTGCTGAGGTAAGGTACGGAATAGCTTGTAGGTGGAATCCAGCGAGCTTGACCCGACAGTACCGCACAAATCTGCGGCAATATGCAGCGATTCGGATGAGTCTCGTTAGTGACGAGTAGCGGGTGAACAGTGTGCGGTCGGGAGCTTCGGTGGATCGAGTGACGGCTGCAAGCGTACGAAGCTTCACCTCGAGAACTTCGGGAGGAAATTCACAGGCGGCTTGGACTGGAAACATACTTGGCCACTCCGCTGGATCGGACGTTAACCACGGTGGACCCTTCCACCATAGTGCGTTGTTGACGAGCTCGCAGGGATCGACACCCCTCGAGATGAGATCGGCCGGGTTCTCCAGACCGGCGACGTGATTCCAAGTGCCTCCTTCAGTGAGTCGCTGCACCTCCGCGACACGATTTGCCGTTGCGAGTTTTTTTTTCATGAAATCCCCGGGAGATTGAAGTCATCAAACACAATAACTTCATCGGTTGCTTTGGCGGTATCCAGAACAGAGAAAACCGATTGGCAATCAAGGTTGCAAAGACTCATTTCAGCTAAAATAATGTTTTTCGGAATAATAAAACCAAAAGATGGTATGATGGTATGTTTTACTTGTAACTTACAAGAAGAGGTTACAAAGTATGCGTTGGAAACATAAAACCTGTAAATTTTGCTTTCTATGAGTCACAATCAGCGATTTGCTGATCGCTGAGTGAGTGAGTGAGTGAGTGAGTGAGTTTGTGAAAAATCGCTGATTGTGACTCTCAAGAAGTGAAATAAACAGGTTTAATATGTCAAACACATTCTTTGCAACCTCTTCTTGTATCCTACCAATTCAAAATTTGATCATGGCATCTAATTATTTCATAGTTTAGAAAAACATTGTTTTAGCTGAAATGAGTCTTTGCAACCTTGTTAGCAATGGGTTTCGATGAGGTCACGCTCCCGTATACGGTCGGGAGGAAAGTAAACCGCACAGAAAAACAAGGTACGATCGCCCAGTTTAATCGACGTCCACACCTACTCTAAGCATGTCCAAGCATTGTTTTCTAGTAACCTCGCTCTAAACCACTACATCACCGGTGCCGGCCAAGGAGCAATTGACTTCAGTCGTTTTGGATATTAACGGCGCATTTGATTCTGTTTCCATAGACATCCCGAGCAGGAGAAAATAACTAATGAATACCTAATTCTGATCTGATACCAAAATTTGGTATTGACCAGCATGACATAAGAGGTAAAATACCAAAGAATAATATGAATTACATGCAAAATACTTTGTAAATACCAAAACTTGATATTGGGATACCAAAACAATACCTGGGTGGTATTGTTTCGGTATTGCATTATCATAATTTGGTATTGGAATGGTATTGTGGGAACATTTATTTAGTATTATTTTTTGGTATTTTACCTCTTATGTCAGGCTCATCCATACCAATTTAAGGTATCGAGATATTCGTTCCTGCTCGGGATACTGTCAGAAAATTTGCACAGTAGTGGATTATCCGGTTTTTTAAATAATTTCCTCATTCCACATCGAACATTCGACTTTTCGGTCTAGTATTGCTTGCCCACCGTTATCGGTACTAGTTGTTTTCCCCTATTGAGTTTTTTTTCAATCCGCTTTCATACTGAGTGGTGTTGTAGTATACAACAGTGTAGTTAGCATCGCGGAATTTTAATTACCGCTTAATCGTTCGAGAAAGGAAGCAGTCATTTCCGGCCGAGTCCGGCAGATGAACTGTTCACCTGTAACCAACAAATTTCATCGTATCACGCCACTGAAAAATCAAGATCATCGAGTTCACCAGGCGGCGAGCCAGCCGGTACTTTGTTGCAAACACTCGAAGGCAACAATAGAACGATCATCACCATCATCCTCACATCAGGATAGATCATCGTCATCAGCCACACTCCGAGCGCTTGTGTGGAGAGTTAAGTAACAAACTGTTATTTTCCGTTCTTCGCAACCTGATTAATCTCCATACAGTGTTGATTGTCTTTTCTGACACCTTATTGTTTTTTGCTGAAATTGTTTTCACTTTTTTCCCCTTACTGATTTTTTTTGCAATCTTATTAATCCTTTATCTCCCTTTGGTGTTGATTAACTTTCCTGGCACTTTTTTTTTCATTTAAAACTTTTGTTTTGCTTTGTTTGATCAAGTATTATTTTTACCGTTACCGTTTTACCGTTTTGATAAATTTTTAGTTATTATTATTTTTTTTCTTTACGCCGAAATCTGTTGCGGAAGAACTTAAGACCCCGCAATGGATGAAATCAATGATGGAGGGGGTATTTCGCTAGCAGTTATCTCCGATGATGAGTATATTAAATCTCCATAATACGAAAATCTGCTTCTCACTGAAGAGAAAATGGATAGCTCAGGATACTACTTCGGTCCCCAAAACGAGCACTGGAGCTTATCCAAAGGTGATGTTTAAACAACAGCCTCCTTCACCCCCTTCCTTCTCCACCATCGCCACCTCGTCCACCTGATCCCCCTACTCCAACCATTCCCTTAAAAATTTCTGCGACCCCCCGCCATAAAGCTTACCCAGACAACTCAAAAGGTCCGTGGGTTGTTTTTTCCGGCCCAAACACCTTTGAATATTTCTCAGATTTCGAAGGATCTAACAAAACATTTTTCGGCCGTAATCGATATCTTAAGGGTGCCACCAAACAAACTGCGCGTTACCGTTGATGCCCCGAAGCAGGCAAACCGGATTGTTGCCTATGAGCTTTTTACGATGGAATATCGAGTCTACATCCCCAGTTGCGACGTAGAAATCTAAGGAGTGGTCACCGAGTCTAACTTGCAAAGATTTCCTTCATGCCAAATCCTTCGATATTTTCAAAAACCGTGTCCTTCCGAAAGTGAAGATTCTGGATTGCATCCAAATGCAATCAGTGTCTCTCATTGCCACAAAAAAAAACGTATTCTCTGTCAGACTCGTTCCGTGTTACCTTTCAGGATCGGCACTACCTGACTACGTAGTAATTGGGAAGGTTCGACTGCCTGTACGCTTGTTTGTACCGCGGGTAATGAACTGCTCGAAATGCAAGCAACTTGGTCACACCGCTGACTTCTGCTCCAACAAACCGAGCTGCTATCAATGCGGCGAGCTACATGCAGATGGTCCTTACCGGGCTACCCCAAAATGTGTTTACTGCAAGGATACACTGCATGCTTTGGTTGATTGCCCGAAGTACAAACAGCAAGGAGAAAAACTTAAGCGGTCTTTGCTAGCTTGCTCAAATAGGTCACTTGCAGAACTCTTAAAAAATACCGCTTCATCTTCCCAAACCACCCCCAAAAAACAAAAACACATACTCCATTTTGCCAGATGATGATCAGGGCTCTGACTCAGAGGTCAGTGATGATGATGATGATGATGATGATGATGATGATGATGATGATGATGATGATGATGATGATGATGATGATGATGATGATGATGATGATGATGATGCTGATGATGATGATGATGATGATGATGATGATGATGATGATGATGATGATGATGATGATGATGATGATGATGATGATGATGATGATGATGATGATGATGATGATGATGATGATGATGATGATGATGATGATGATGATGATGTAGATGATGATGATGATGATGATGATGATGATGATGATGATGATGATGATGATGATGATGATGATGATGATGATGATGATGATGATGATGATGATGATGATGATGATGATGATGATGATGATGATGATGATGATGATGATGATGATGATGATGATGATGATGATGATGATGATGATGATGATGATGATGATGATGATGATGATGATGATGATGATGATGATGATGATGATGATGATGATGATGATGATGATGATGATGATGATGATGATGATGATGATGATGATGATGATGATGATGATGATGATGATGATGATGATGATGATGATGATGATGATGATGATGATGATGATGATGATGATGATGATGATGATGATGATGATGATGATGATGATGATGATGATGGTCCCACCTCTTACCCCTACAAGGGTTTGAGCTGGACGATTTATCTTTATGATAATTAAATGTAAACATTTTAACCAGGTTAGCAAACAAAAACATCTGGTTACATTTACAGATATAAATTCGCTCTAGTTGTTGCTTTACAGCGATATAAATGTGAAAAAGCTTAGGCGTCCACGTCTTATTTCGCCTTTTTGTACGCCTTAAATATTCATAAGTACTACAAGCGATCAAGAGTTACGTTATGTCCACCATAGAGCTACAAACAACTATACAAAACAAGGATGACGGGATGAAGGAAAATTGGGAGAAAAGAACAGACATTGCCCAAAATCGGCCTCTTTTAATATCAGGCGTCCGTGTGCTAAGACGCATTTTAATTAGCTAAGTGCAGTGGTTGCTGTTTTTGAACGTGAACCAGGACTCGCCCCCCCTAGCAGCAGTTAGTATGCGCTAGGGAAATTTAACGTTCAGGTAACTAAATACCCTGCACCAAAAACCGTAAATTAATTACGTATTCGTCCGATAGGACTTCTTTTATGTTGGACCTTAAAAAGGTCATCCGTCAACACACGGCCGGCTCGTGAAATTGGAAACAGTTTCCGAGCCCAATTATCAAGGCCCAAATACTATTATCTGGCCAAATGTAGGCCATAATCGCAATGGAGTTTTCCCTTATCGGCTTGACCAAGGTGGCCTTGCCACGGTCGACCGATCGTGCCAACGAAGGACGACGCCTGCCATCCCACCGTCCAGCAACGCCCGCTGGCCCGTCATCCGCTCGCTTCGCCAATCTGGCGAGAGATCCGGCCGCACAGTAGGACAGGAGTCACTGTGTCGGCCATTCCGATTTACCATCAATGGCAGCAGCGGTATGTACCGGTACCAGAGTTGGTAACGGTCAGTTTGGTCAGTGACGTTTGACGAAAACCAAAAGTAAATTGTCGCTGTACAAAAACCATCATTTCCATACATTCTTCGTCATTGACGAAGAGAAGCCGACAGTAATCCCTTTGAACAAATCCTATCGCATCTTTTACCTTCACTTCTCTTTTCTGTATCATGCATGGACAAAAAAAAAGCAAATACCGTCGAACGTGCATGTGAGCAGACTAGTAACCACACTATGAGCGCTTCTTGTTTTCCTTTAGCCTATCCATTCTCCTAAGCGTTGATAGACCAGTGGTAAAGACACAAGCCTGTTAATCTCAACGCTTCGGTCAGGAGAAAAAGAGATGAACTCGTGGCGTTAGAAATTAATTGTATATTGAACGGGTGTTATTCGTATAATGGTTCGATTTGTACTGATTATAGGTAAAGTTTGGTGCCGGTACTTTTATACCTACCGACTCGATCGAGAGTGATCGAGTCATGAGGATATTCCTACGTGATGTAGCTGTTTGTTTTTTCCTGCTGTGTGGAGTGTAGAGCGAAGTACAATTATGTGCGGCGTGTGGGTACAATAGGTTTAGGTTTCTGCTTGTTCTGCGTCGCTTGTGCAGTGGTATCTCGGACTATCGCGTTGTCCGCGACATACCGGCCACCATGAAAAATGTGTTTCATAAAATTTAACAGTAAATTCACTTCTTAACTAATACTTCACAATCAATCATCTGGGTTGGCAGCGGGCGCTGCATTGTCGTCAGGGTCACCGGGCACTTCGCCGGAAGTGGAGGTGGATCTTGCGTCATCGTCGATGGGAAGCAGGCAGATCTTCACGATCGGTCGGTCAAATACTGCGCCGGATGCCAGTCTGACGGTCACCACACGGACGAGGCCATCCGCGCCGGGGTGGACGTTTTCGATTCGACCCATGCTCCACCTGAGCGGTGGTAGGTTGTCATCCTTCAGGAGTACCAGCTTGCCGACCAGAACATTCGGCTGCCGGTAGTAGTGCTTCGAACGCTGCTGTAGTTGATGAAGGTAGTCCGTCGACCAGAGTTTCCAAAAGGTTTGGGTTCTGCGCTGCACCTCCTGCCAAAGCGAAAGCCGGTTGTTGGGAACTTGGGCAAGGTCGGGCTCCGGGATTGATTGGAGAGCTGATCAGACCAGAAAGTGTCCCGGTGTGAGGGCTTCCGTGTCACTTGGGTCTTCAGATAGGGTCGTCAGTGGCCGAGAGTTGAGACAGCTCTCTATCTGGCAGAGGATGGTACACATTACATCGCTTGACAGGGATTCCAAGCCGACGACTCGCCGAAAATGATGCTGGAAAGCCTTGACTGCAGCCTCCCAAAGGCCGCCGAATGTCGGAGCGTTCGCGGGGATGAAGTTGAACTGGATGGATGATTCAGCGCAGAACGATGCTATCTTCAGTCGTAGTTGTTGATCGTTGAGTTGCTTGCAGAGGTCTCGTAGTTCCCTGTCTGCGCCCTTGAAGTTGGTGGCATTGTCACAGAACAGGGCGATTGGCTTGCCTCGCCGTGCAACGAACCGTTTCAACGTTGCGATGAAGGCTTCGGAGCTGAGATCGCCAACCAATTCGAGGTGTACGGCCTTCGTAGCCATACATACGAATACAGCGACGTATGCTCGGATCGGTGGAGCTGGTTTCGTTCGACGTACTGGTACCTTCAGCCAAACGGGACCACAGAAGTCAACGCCCGTGTTGAGGAACGCACGGGTCGGAGTGATGCGAACTTTCGGAAGTTGGCCCATCAGCTGGTGTACTGCTTGTGGTCGTGTGCGGTAACAACGCAAGCAGGATTTGACGTGTCTCCGTGCCAGGTTACGGAGGTTTAATGGCCAATATTGTTCACGGATGTGTGCGATCATCGCACGCGGTCCAGCGTGGAGAAGCTGCTTGTGCACCGAATCAACGAGCAGTGAAGTGAACGGATGCGCTGCAGGCAAAAGCATTGGATGCTTGCGCGTGAACGAGTATGAAGAGTGGTTCAGCCGGCCACCGACCAGAAGTACATCATCGTGGATGAAGGGATTCAAGGTACGTAATGGGGATTTCTTGAGATCCGCTTCGCATCTGGCCTGAAGCATAGCGATTTCTTGGCTGAAGCACTCATTTTGCACAACTTTTACAAGGCCTTCTTGTGCTTGAAGGAGTTCTGCTGAGGTAAGGTACGGAATAGCTTGTAGGTGGAATCCAGCGAGCTTGACCCGACAGTACCGCACAAATCTGCGGCAATATGCAGCGATTCGGATGAGTCTCGTTAGTGACGAGTAGCGGGTGAACAGTGTGCGGTCGGGAGCTTCGGTGGATCGAGTGACGGCTGCAAGCGTACGAAGCTTCACCTCGAGAACTTCGGGAGGAAATTCACAGGCGGCTTGGACTGGAAACATACTTGGCCACTCCGCTGGATCGGACGTTAACCACGGTGGACCCTTCCACCATAGTGCGTTGTTGACGAGCTCGCAGGGATCGACACCCCTCGAGATGAGATCGGCCGGGTTCTCCAAGATACCCAATGGGTCGAAGAGTTTGGACATCTCGGAGACCACGATTCGTTTCGTGATCGGATTATCAGAGAATCGCTCAGGAACTTTGAACCAGAAGGTATCCGATTCAGGGTGCCACAGCAGACCGAGTGTGCTGACGGAGCCTTGGATGTCATCAACTGCGACAATTGGCCTATCATCCTTCAGGTTGTCCGGGATGTGTGACAACACTTCGGATGAATTCGACGACCACTTTCGAAGTTCGAACCCTGCGGACGCGAGGATGCTCTGCACTCCAGAACGTAGCTGAGTTGCTTCTTCCACAGTGTCAGCACCGCTGAGGAAATCGTCCACGTAGAAATCCTTACCGATTCGTGCTGCAGCATCGGTTTCGCTCGCCGAGTGATCGTAGGACAATTGCTGTAGACACCTAGTAGCTAGATACGGTGCACATGCGGTGCCGTATGTTACCGTGGTCAGCTCGTAGGGATGGACGTGTGAATCAGTCGTGCTTTGCCAGTACACGAGCTGAAGACGCCTTTCGTCAGGATGTACCCACATCTGGCGATACATCTTGGTTACATCTGCAACTAAAGCCACTTCGTACATGCAGAACCTGATGACCATAGCATATAATGCATCCTGAACAGTAGGTCCCACCATAAGGCAATCATTGAGAGAGATTCCTGTAGAAGACTTGCTGGACCCATCGAAAACCACTCTGCACTTAGTGGTAGTGCTGCTCGGCTTGAGCACGGCGTGGTGGGGAAGATAGAACGAGCGGGTATGGATTTTGTCTTGTAATGGGTCTACGGGAACCATATGGCCAAGTTCTATGTACTCTGCCATGAAGTCTACATACTGGGCCTTCAAATCGGGGTTCTTGCTGAGTCGACGTTGCATCCATTGAAATCTGCGAAGGGCACCGATCTCGGAGTCACCAAGTTGACTCAAGACGTGCTCTTTCTTCGGCAGGCGTACAACGAATCGGCCTGATTCGTCGCGGGTGGTAGTTTCGGAAAAGTACATCTCGCAAGCTAATTCTTCCTTAGACAGTCCACGGCTTTGAGGGCAACTCTCGACTTCCCAGAATCGAGTCAGTTGTTGGTCCAAGTCATCGGTGGTACACAACAGAGCGACTCGCTCAGGTCCTTGGCTAGCGGTATCGATGGCAACAGGTCCACTTACTACCCATCCGAGCACGGTACGTTGGAGAATAGGCTGGTGTTCAGAAGGACCAGCATTTACTGGGATCTGTCCTTCCTGCAGAAGACTGAAGAACAGCTGAGCACCGATAACCATATCGATCCTTTGCGGCGAAGCAAAATCTGGGTCTGCCAAGACTAACTCAGGAGGGATGTTCCATTGCGAAATGTCGATTGCCCGACAGGGCAGATCGTTGGTGATCTTGGAGAGGATGCTGAACGTCAGTGTGTTAGAGTAGGTGGAATTAACAGAACTGAAATCTGCTACGGTGCAGTAAGTACTGTTGACAGTAGAGCCACCCATTCCAGCGATAATTGCAGCTTGCTTTCGTCGGTTCAATCCCAAAAGCTGAACGATTCTTTCGGTGATGAAGTTTGACTCGGAGCAGGAGTCCAACAGGGTTCGAACAAATGTAGATCTCCCCGACAGGCCGTGGACCTTTACCACGGCGGTGGATAATAGAACAGTCGAGTAGGTGGTGGTGGAAGAGCTTGCTGCAGCTAATGCGTTGGTGAGAGGTTGGTGGGTGGCGGACGAGGTGATTGGTGATGGTGGAATTGGAGTGGACAATGATGCCGGGACCACGGCTCCACTTCCGGTGTAGGTGGTGGATTGTAGATTTTCAGTAGGTGGTTTCACTTGGGGTTGGGTGTAACGATCGTTAGGGGAGGAAGAATGCAAAAGTGTGTGGTGTTTTTCGTTGCACTTCCGACAGGGTTTGGAGGAGCAGTCACGGCTGAGATGACTCGATGATAAGCAATTTCAGCATAGCTTCTTCTTGCGGACGGTGTCTTGCTTCTGTTCGATTGACATCCGTTTGAACACCTCGCAATCGTAAATCCGATGCGGTTGGTTGCACACGATACAGCTGAAGGATTTTGGTGGGTATGATTTTGCAACGGATGCGGTATGAGCAACAGAGAAACGGGGTTTATCTTTTGGAGGGGAGGGTACCAGGGTTCCACTGTTCAAGGACATCAAGATCCGAGCTTGATCTTTCAGAAAGGTTATCAGCTCGTCATACGTAGGAACCTTCTCTTTATCGTTACCTGTTGACCGTTCCCATTCCCTCAAAGTGCTTTGATTCAAGCGACTGCACACCATGTGCACGAGCAGGGAGCTCCATTGTTCTGTCTGCTCCCCCAACGCCGTTAGGATTTTTACATGGCGTTCGAATTGGTCAGCCAGGCACAATATGGTAGCAGAAGATTCCTTTTTCACAGGCTCAATGGCGAAAAGAGAGTTTATATGGTTTTTAATTAGCAGGCGCTTGTTATCGAAGCGACTGACCAGTAAATCCCAAGCGATCCTGTAATTATCTCCCGTAATGCTAGTCGTATCAAGGAGTTGCTTGACGGGTTCCTTGAGTGCTGCCATCAAGTAATGGAATTTATCTACAGCAGCCAAACCCTTATTGTTGTGGATTAAGCTATTATTAAGCATCATAAAATGGGATCCAATTGTCTATCTCGCCATCAAAAGTTGGCAAATCAATTTTTGGCAAGCGCACTACAGATGTAGAAACCTGAGAGGTATTAGCAGCAATATGGCGGTTCACTTTATTTGCGGTGAGAAAGTCATGCAAATTGTAGTACTTGTCCTCCATTTCATTGCGGCTCTTCATAAACGTAGCCTTTGTTTCGGATTTTTCATCCATTAGCAATTCCAACTCAATTGAAGCGTTAGTAAATCGATCATATAATAAATCTAGCCTACTCAATCTAGAGTCGATCTTGTCTCGATCGACCTCGGCATCGTAAGTATTGACGAAGTTCTCGATGGTATGTATTGCGTCCGTAATGACGCTCAATGCTTTTGACCGTTCCCGAAGCGACGTCATATCGCCTGCTGAGATCGTCACGTGAAAGACAGACTACCAATTACCACCACAACCCAAGCCAAATTCTTAAAAATCGATGCCAGTCCACTCCTCCAATCAAAAATCCGAAAACCTTGCTTACTCTACGAGAGTACTCACCAGTCGACACGCCAACCCAAGCACCCAACTCACAATCGATGGCGCAGGTTCTGACGCCCAAACCTGGAAACGAGGATGACACAGGTTCTGACGCCCAAACCTGGAAACGTGATGGCACAGGTTCTGTCGCCCAAACCAGGAAACGTGACGGCACAGGTTTTGACGGCCAAACCTGGAAACGACAGCAGTCGAGGTGTGGGTTTTGTCGATCAAACCCACGAAACGAATCCAACCACTAACGCACTTGCGCGTTCAAATGCGCTTTCTTTTACTGTCCACTTTTCTATGTTTTACGGAGTTTTCACAGAGTCCAAATCTTCTCCACCAGACCAAACCACAGAAAAGGTGCACCGTCCGATCGGCGATCGATTGTATTGCTCACAATGAACAACGGTGATGATGCTGCAGCAGCAGCGGTGAGGTCGCAACAAAGCGACGGCACGTGTGAAGTTGATTCCACTTCGAACGGAACAATTATCCGGTTCGAAGGACCAAAAAGATGTCCACGCACTGGGATCCTCTTCGATGAGCTCCAACGCCTGGCAACGGTTGAGCGAACTATCCGGAAATGGTCACTGGTTCAGGGGATTTTAGCCACAGAAAGTTAAACTCTTGTAGTCTTGAAAAAGACTGATTGATTGGCTTGTGGTTGGCTTCGGTCAGGAGAAAAAGAGATGAACTCGCGGCGTTAGAAATTAATTGTATATTGAACGGGTGTTATTCGTATAATGGTTCGATTTGTACTGATTATAGGTAAAGTTTGGTGCCGGTACTTTTATACCTACCGACTCGATCGAGAGTGATCGAGTCATGAGGATATTCCTACGTGATGTAGCTGTTTGTTTTTTCCTGCTGTGTGGAGTGTAGAGCGAAGTACAATTATGTGCGGCGTGTGGGTACAATAGGTTTAGGTTTCTGCTTGTTCTGTGTCGCTTGTGCAGTGGTATCTCGGACTATCGCGTTGTCCGCGACAATAGTAATACAATATTTTTCATCACTGACTTTGCTCTCTCTACGTTGATGCAAGACAGTCCTGGCCGGTACAGTAAACAACGTGATTAAGCTGCACGACACATATTACACGAAATTGTGAACACAGAACAACACGCACATAATACAGAAAGTGGCGAATAAATGCGTTTAAAGAAAAGTGAACGTTCTTCGTTTTTGTATCACGAAACCCTCTGATAACCCGGTAGCTAGTCGACCCTGGGTGTTCCGGAGCTTGCTCTTGTCGCCTGAGTCGACCGGGTGCTGTATGTTTGATCTCCGAGTAGGTAGTTGGTGAGTGCTGAGTTCCTAAATCAGTTATAACTTAGTGAACAATCAACAAAGCATCCTATTATACTAGCAACCCCGTAATCTGATGCTATCATAATTTTCAGCAATGTCAGGAATGCTCACGAACCCACAACATTTGTCAGAAAACTTACTATTAACTCAAGGTATCTTCCAAATAATCTTCACAATTGCAATTTTTTTTTTTAATGTTAAATTCAGTCCTCTATATCCGTAATACGCGCGCGAGGCTCAAACCTTTGTAGACTACTAAAAAAAGTGTTTTTTTACTACTACTATTAAATCAAATATCAAAAATCCATCACCATCGTGGCGAACAAAATAGTTTTTGCAGTGCTACAATAATTATTAACAATTCGTTATAACAGCTATCCAGCATAACTTCGTCAAGATACATAATTTGTCAATTCATAAAAAACACACTGGATAACCGTTCAAAAGACAGTTTTAACGTGTGAAATGCAATGTCTCTCAAATTCTGCTAATGTTGTTGCACGTTTAATGTGTCTAGGCATCGAATTGAAAACATTTATTCCTTTAAAAAATGAAGAATTTTGTGAAGCACAAGTCAAGAAATGTGGTGTTCTTATTTCAACCGCGTTTATAGTATTATATCTATCATAATCACTTTCTCTTTCAATTCGATCACACAAATATCGAGACAGCAAACCGCAAACCGTCCAGCATCAAAGTTGAGGAAGTGAATCTATTACATCGCAAAATCAAGCGCATTATTTTATTCTGCAAGCGCTGTAATCTCGATAGGGTAACTCGGTATAATACGCCCCACCCGGGCAATACGCCCCCCTTAGAATTTGAGCAAATCAGACTTTATTTAAGATTAAAAATGATTGGGAACCCTAGCTAATCATGGGACCACTCTACTATGCAATATTGACAGCTGTAGCGCACAGCAAAACAAAAACAAAACAAAAAGTATCAAAAGCCATGATTTGATGTTATTTTCGTCGCAGTCAGTTTAAGCGTTTACGGAGTGAAATAACGAAAATTAAATAGAAACTAGTGGTGAGAGACTGAAGAACGTCCGTCATCTGTTGGTACGGTGAAACTCCAACAACTGGCCTTTAACAACAAGTTCTAAGATTTTCTCTAATGTGTGCAACATGTTGATAGGACGAAACTCTTCGGCTTTAATCGTTCTAGCAACTTTTTTAATAGGAACCACTAAGGATTCCTTCCAAATTTGTGGCACATGTCCATTCTGCAATGATTTATTAATAAGGTCCAGAAAGATGTGGCCAATGACATGAAAGCAATCTTGAATAACTCTAGATTAACATTATCTACTCCAGTCGATTTTCCTAATGAAAAGCAAATAACTCTAAATTCATCTAATGTAATTGGGTGAAAACCTTCAAATCTACAACTACTATTAACTGGCTGTTTTATATCGTCAGGTTCATCGACCAATTCAATGTTTAAAAAATGCTAAGAGCACGAGGAAGGAGTGATCTATGGCCCCGGTATCGCCGATTAACCATAAGTTCCAGAAATCATGTTTTTACACAACCCAAAACTTTAAACGCGTTTTTCTCGAAACGGTGTTTTCCAAATTGGCGGGAAAGATAACTCAAAAAGTTCTCATCCAAATGACTTGAAACCTGGCACATCTTAAAGGAAATATGTTTACTCTATGTGAACCACTGATAGCATGAAAAATTAACAATAAATAATTTTCAAGTCTGCCTAAAGTGAAAAAAAAACAGTGAAAAATCAACTTTTTTTTTCAGGTATTTTATTTTAAATTTTTAAATTGTTTTTTTTTTTATTTGTTTTAGAGGTTCACATAGAACAAAAATCTTATCTGAATAAGGTTTAATTGATAAAAGTAAGTTTTGTCCATTTTTCAGGTCTCTAGAACGCCCGCCAATTACCAATCCCCACTGGAGGTGACCTCCTTCCGATATAACCCCAAGGACGTAATGCTACGTAGTTTGTTGACAACCCCGCAATATTCGATGATGTGATGTGAATAGAACCCACCATCAGTGCAAGGATTACCTATGACTGCAGATACTTCACTGGTTGTAAAGTTCTGCCTGATGGTTTGTTGCAGCAGGGTGAATCAACTTCATTGAAGACCTTTGAAAGACAAACGACAAGATGTACGTTCATCAACACGTGACAAGGGACTGGCAAATCCACGAACCCTTGTCCAGTCTACAAATCGTTTGAAACCCTTAGGCTGCCCCCCTAAACCCAGCATATAATAATGTGTGATTAAAGAAATGTATTCAAAAAAGGGTTATTTAGAGGGAACAATCTTCAACTGGAACGTACTCACCAAATCAATATATCCGAGAGCGCATTCCCGATGCTTAATTTTCTCTAGTCATTTTAAAACAATTCCTCCTCCAGCGAATCCAACCACATAATAACTAAATATCACATTTCTTCTTAAAGTCACTCTGTGCACGATAATTAATACGCATCCTTGAATGAACAAAAACAATTGAGTCCGACCAGTCCAGCATGTGATCATCATAAACTTTTCCAGTCTCTAAAAAATTGCTACGAAATTTCACTAATGAAGACCTCCTTCAGTTACTTCTCCTTGATGTGAACTTGCAACGAACGATAGGAAGTTGGAAGCGCAATGGAGATTTTGTTAATAACTGCTACTTGACTCTTAACTCGGAGTAATTTTCAGCAGCTGCAGCAACACTTTATTCCATACTTGAACTATTATTTCTCACCAACCTTTTGACAACCCCGCAATAATCGATTACAAAACATCAAATAGATTCACATTACTGGAACTTGGTTGCTATTTATTGAAACGCAGGTTGCTATTTATTGAAACGCAAGCTGCTTTTCTTCTGATAAAAAGACTTTTATAGACCAAACATTCCGAGCTAAATGCGGCATGGTAAACGTTATGTTCACTACTTTTACATTATAAATAGCGATATCTTCATTTTGACTTTTTAAGTAGTCAATGAAGACATCGGAGGAATACTGATCGCACATGCCCACTATTTTCAATCTTGGCACCGACGTGGGAACAACAGCACTATAGTTTTCACCCAGATTGTTTTCAATACCATTTTTCACATCACTTACATTTGCTCCTGTTGCACACTCAACAATAATGGAGCCATCTTTACCATTCCTAAAATGACTGATTTTGTGTGTTTTGGTTTATTTGAGTTACGAGTATCTTCGCAAGGTTGTTTGGATTCTTTCGGTTTAATCACAATGACCGGACGAGTCTTACGATTATCTGGTTTGTTACTTTTACTGTTACTGTTACTATTAGTTTTACTTTGACTAGCACGACTATGTCTTTTTACAACATGCGCAAAACTCGCATTTTCTTGAAAAACAACATTATCATCATTATCACTATTTTGTATTTTACGTTTTTTGCGTCTAGTATTTTGGTCCGATTATGACTGAATCGTCCTAGATGAACTGCGCTGATCATTCATTACAGCTAATTGGTTTTCCGCATCAATTTAAAAAAATGAACTTTTCATATTATCCAATTCCTCACAAATAAAATTTTCAAGACCATTTACAATTATTCTAATGTCTGCCATTCCGCTTTTAACCGCGATGTCCACCTGAGCAGCAATGTGATCTCGCATGCCATCACTGGCATGTCCGAGAGTTGAAAAACCTTCTTCATCTCTTCCTATAACCTTTTGACGCGCGAGATCAGATCATTCTGCTCGTCACAACTCTGATCTGATAGACAACTATCACACTTGAACAGAACATTTGCATTATCTGCTATAAGCCTCGCCGCAACTTTAGTGAGTGCCGCACAAGCAAAATTGAACGTTCCATTGCACGGACCTACACAAGTAACTGGGAGCCCACTCATAGCAATAGACTGCTCGCATACATTACACACATCCATTTTACCAAATTAAACGCTAACACTGTTAGCAGCAGACATATACAGGGTAGTAGAACACAAAATAAAATTTTACCACCACAGCTCAGTATACAGAAGCAATAGCGCGCCGGGGGGAAAATACAAAATTAAACAAAAACGAGTTGCTAGGCAACTTTTCCTCTACTTATCCTGTTAAAAAAAAACACAACGGGCACGCGTTGGAATAATCCTTTCGCGGCACACGGCACTATTTCACACGAAATTATGAATTTATTTTCACAGCACAACTCAACAAAAACACTACTTTGTTCGCCATACTACTCCGGTGAAGATAGGGGAAGGTTGTTCATTGAAACTTCCGGTCCGCTTCGTAGCATAGTGCTTGCTAAGAGGTGCCAGGTGGTAACCCACTGACACTGATTACCTGACGATCGGTCAAATTTGGAAGACGTCTGCAATGAATTGTCTCACATTGTAATATTCCGCCCACTAAAGGGTGATACGGTCAAAATTTGGCCAAGGGAAAACGCGTGTAAATCGGTGAAATCGTTTATTTAAAAAATCAAATTAAATTTCTTTTTCAAGTTCAATTAGTATAAAATTCAGGAAAAATATTCAGTTAGGCTTCCGCTTTTCCAAATCCGAATTGCCGGGCCTCACGCTTGACCCCTGCCATCAGATTTTGTACAGCCACCTTGTCCACCTTCTTCGCCGCAGAAAGCCAGTTTGCCTTGAACTGCTGCTCGCCCTTAGCAGTTTTTTTGGTCTTCTTTAGGTTCCGCTTGACAATAGCCCAGTATTTCTCAATTGGGCGGAGCTCTGGCGTGTTGGGAGGGTTCTTGTCCTTGGGAACCACCTGCACGTTGTTGGCGGCGTACCACTCCATGGCCTTTTTACCGTAATGGCAAGATGCCAAATCCGGCCAAAACAGTACGGAACAACCGTGTTTCTTCAGGAAAGGCAGCAGACGTTTATTCAAACACTCTTTCACGTAAATTTCTTGGTTGACAGTCCCGGAAGCTATGAAAATGCTGATTTTCAAGCCACAGGTACAGATGACTTGCCAAACCAGATATTTCTTTGCGAACTTTGACAGTTTCATGTGCTTGAAAACATCTGCTACCTTTCCCCTTCCTTTTGCCGTATAAAGCTCCTGTCCCGGAAGCTGCTTGTAGTCGGCTTTGACGTAGGTTTCGTCGTCCATTACCACGCAGTCAAACTTCGTCAGCATCGTCGTGTACAGCCTCCGGGATCGCGCTTTGGCCGTCGTATTTTGTTTATCTTCGCGATTTGGAGTCACTACCTTCTTGTAAGTCGATGGTCCAGCTCGTTTTTTGGCTCGATGCACGGTTGTAGACGATACACCCAGCTTATTTGCAGCATCTCGGAGAGTGAGGTTAGGGTTTCGCTTGAAACTACCGGCAACTCTCTTTGTCGTCTCAGCAGCTTCCGGTTTTCGATTTCCCCCCGATCCAGACTTCCTGGCTGTCGACAAACGTTCCCCAATCACTTTAATTACATTTGTAACGGTTGATTTGGCAACTTTTAGCGATTTTGCCAACTTTGCGTGCGAGTAGCTCGGATTTTCGCGATGCGCGAGCAGAATTTTGATACGCTGCTCTTCTTGCTTGGACGGCATTTTGACAACTGAAAAGTGAATTCCAAAATCAAAATAGGAGCAACATTCTACACACACACACCTTCAAAATGAGGGGTGTTCAGGTTTTTTAAATGCAAAATTGAAAGAAATACGTCAAGTTGATATTGACCAAATTTTGACCGTATCACCCTTTATGTCACAATCAATTGCGAGTAGCTGAGCGGAATGGAGACAAGAAAAGCATTGGGTAGAAGACCAAGTCTCTCCCAGCTGGCGCCAAAACAATGAACCTGGAAGCAACTGAATCAAGTTGTCATGGGGCACGAAATGATCCTTTTGCATGGCTTGGAGATGTTGCAATCGGGTGAGGGTTGGTGCTAATGTTTAATTTGTTTTTGTATAATTTCAGGTATTGGTATACGGGGGGCTAAGCCTTGAGAAAAAAAAACAACATACATCGAAGCAGAGCAGATGAATTAAGGAAAGAAGCTTCGCAAAAAGACAAGAAAAAGGGGAAAAAGACGTCGGATACAAGATGCGATGGAGAGCCGTCTTTTTAATTGGACGTTGAACAGAACAGCAAAGTTTACTTACATTTTAATGTGTTATTCACATAAATCTCAAATTGTTGCAACTGAATACGTGCCAGAATAAAAACATTTTTTTTTTATTCTGGAAGTGTGAATGCATAACATGTATCCAATTGATACATCGATGTGTTCATGCGGGCATATTGTATATAAAGGAGATCTCAGAATGTACGTGTAGGAACAGGTATTCTTGAAATGGGTCACTGGATGAACAATAGAGCTGTCACCTTCCATCTCCAGGGCTAAAAATGTTGATGTTTGCACCTATGATACAGAACACATCCACACAAACACACACACACACACACACACACACACACACACACACACACACACACACACACACAAACACACACACACACACACAGGGCTACAAATGGTGAGTTGACAACCTAGCTCTGGTTCTCACAAGTTCCTACCTCACGCCTCCCCGTGGTGTAGCCTGGGCAATGTTGTCCTTCTGACAATAGCAAAGTGAGGGGGTGCGACGCGAACACTGGCGCGGTAACCATAACACGGCGATGGAGGAAATGCTTCGTCGACCCGCAGGAGTGCCAACCGGCACATTAGGATCGACGCCAGTAA